GATTTAATTAAATTTCATTTTATTATTCAATTGGCCTAATCAAGTTTTGGAATTGGTATATACAATAACCATGCTATGTTGCTAACATGTGTAATTTGAGGCCATTTGGTTGAGAATTGCAACTTAAAGGAATTAATTAGTTTACTTGATTAAATTCCGTTTCTATTGCATTATGGATTTAAATCATGTGTTTGACGTTGATTGTATATCTAAAGCATGATTTTAGACTTTAAATGAATTTATGAGATTATGTTCCAATATTGGATTATCTTGTTATAGCGTGTAACGAATCGCATACTGAAGATTCGACATGTGATGTTATTATAGCACGTAACGAATCGCGCTCTGAAGATTCGACATTTGTCATCCTATAGTAGTTGTGGATTTAGAGCATGTATTGTGTGGTTACAAACTACTTGTGCATGGGATGTGGTTTCGTATATATATAAGTTGTTAACTTATTTATTTTGGAGTCACTTGGGACATGGTTACTATGATATGGCTGAAGTTCGGCTTTAGTGCGGGAGGTATGAGTTCTCCCCAATTGAGATAGTGCGCACTTAGGGTGGTTTTCCCTGCGGGTTAGTGCCCGGAACAACCATTGATCTTGGCAGAATTCCGAGTCTAGATGTCGAAGTCTTCCATTATTTATTTTCGCATTCAATTCCAAGTTAGCAATCATGTTTATATTGTGACTTGTGGTTTTGGTTATCGGCGATTTTGATGTTGCCAAGTACATCCATGTTTTATGATTTTAATAAATCATTTTAATGTTGTTAAGTACATTCATGTTCATGATTTTTAATAAATCATTGTGAGCTTTTAATGTTGTTAAGTATATTCTTGTTTTATGATTTTAATGAATCATTATAAGTTTTTGATGTTGTCAAGTATATTCATGTTGTGTTGTTCAAATGTAAAGTCAGAATGATCCTATAGATTCATTTGGAACATAGACGTTAGGTGGCATGATCACTTATGTCGTTTTCGTTCTTTAGATTTCAAATTGATGACTTTGAGAATCTATATCTAGTTGCTTTGTGTAAGCATGTTTCTATCTGGTTGCTTTGTGTAAGCATGTTTCTAACTAGTTACTTTGTGTAAGCATGTTATATCTTGTCACTACGTGTAGCATGCTCTTGTGTTGTTGAAATTGCATAAAGGATATGTTTTATGCTAGAAATGATCTTAGGTAGTTAGGATGCTCCCTGAGTCTCACATTTGACATAGACGTTAGGTGGAATGAACCACAATGATTAAATCATGTACACTTGTAAAACGTAGGTCGATGCATGCTCATTTCCTACAAGTAGCTTTATGTTACTCACCCCTACAATACTGGGGCATATTTCAGGTACAAGATATAAGATTGGAGATTGCAATTGCTTGGGTGATTTGCTGAATTGAGCTTCTTTAGAAGCATTCTTGTTCACATACAAGTGTTAGCATGTTCATGATTTGTCTATGAAATGTAATTTTTCTAACTTGGAGGTCTGACATGTCAAATGTTGTAAATGAGTTGTAATAAGGCCATGGGCCATTGTAACATGTTTAAAATACCATTTTACACTTGCGTGTATGTTCACATCATCACACAATAGCATATAATGCAATTTGATCATGCCATGGGGAGTCATTTTGATGCCTTAGGGATGACGTACATCTCTAGTGGTCACTTAGTTTCCTTCGTTTCCGCATTTCGGATCCGTTATCGGGTCATTCTTTTGGTTCATCATAGGACACACTGGGTTGAAAAATCTAGAGTTGTCACAAATACTAGGGCGCAATGCCAGGGCTTGGGTACCTGAGCGCGATGCCAGGATTTTGGTACCTGGGCATCGCTACCTTGGAGCGATGCTAAGGTTTTGTGTACCTGGGCGCGATGCCAGGGTTTGGGTACCTGGGGGCGATGCTAGGGTTTGGGTACCTGGGCGCGATGCCAGGGTTTTGTGTACCTGGGCGCGATGCCAGGGTTTGGGTACCTGGACGCGATGCCAGGGTTTTGTATACCTGGGTACAATGCCAGGGTTTGGGTACCTGGGTACGATGCCAGGGTTTGGGTACCTGGGCGCGATGCCAGGGTTTTGTGTACCTGGGCGCGATGCCAGGGTTTTGTGTACCTGGGTGCGATGCCAGAGTTTTGTGTACCTGGGCGCGATGCCAGGGTTTTGTGTACCTGGGTGCAATGCCAGGGTTTTGTGTACCTGGGACGATGCCAGGGTTTGGGTACCTGGGCGCGATGTCAGGGTTTAGGTACCTGGGCGCGATTCCAGGGTTTGGGTACCTGGGCACGATGCTAGGGTTTTGGTACCTGGGTACGATGTCAGGGTTTTGTGTACCTGGGCACGATGCCAGGGTTTTGGGTACCTGGGCACGATGCCAGGATTTGAGTAGGAATATGCGGGCACGATAGATGGCGAGTGAGTGTGTAAGCCAAGTGGGTGGCAATAGACACTGCAAAATAAATAAGAAGCATGAGTTCAGTTATGTTAGCACGATCGAGTGTGAATGAGTACTTGTATGATTAAGTGTAATACCGTATGGCACAAGTGAGTACAAGTCTAGCATGAGTAAACTGCAAGTAAGTGTGCGAGCGAAGTGGCCAATTTGAAATATGATAACCCAAGTGTGGTATGTGTAGTGTCATTGGTTTATATAGTCCCCCTGTACGGGTAGACTTTGTAGAAATAGAAGGATAGTTATGTATAAATGATTTGTCGGCCTGGTAGCCTAGGTTAGAGTGTTTTATTTTGCAAAGTTTCTAAGTGTTGTAACTCGAGAAACGTTTGAAATGAAAACATTTGATAAGGATTTGATCGTTCTAAGCGTGAGAACTCGAGAAAGGTTTAAACGGCCGGCCTTGTAGCTTTTGTTTTAGTACTTGAGGACCGATTATTCAAGGTTTTGGTACTCGGGGATAGATTGTCTCGCTCAGGGTTTTAGTACTTAAGGATGGCTCGATGTTTTGGTACTCAAGGACAAATTGCTCATGGTTTTAATACTTGAGGATGGCTCAAGGTTTTGGTACTCGAGGACAGATTACTCGAGGTTTTCATATAAGCGTAACATACTAATGAAATTTGATGACCATATGAGATGCCAACGTTTTGTGATTTAAGTAAAGTGGGAAAGCTTAAAGGTGAGTAAGTGTGCGAGCCAAATGACTTGTATGAGACACTACCTCATAAGTGAGAGTATTTCTTGTGTCGAGGAGATATGACGTTTTTCTAAACATTGAGTGCGTCCACGTGATAAGTAGATTTTTTATTTCATGTATAAAGTTTCAGACCTCACAAGTGAGATGTCTCGAGAGTAATCTTTCCTTCGCTTATGTTTCGAAAAAAAAAAAAAAAAAATGTATAAAGTATGACAATACATGTGTGTTTAGTCATACTTAATACTTAGACATATTGAAAGTTACAAAGTAAGCAAGCTATTGTGGACAATAGCATTAAATAATAAAGTGGCCTGATGGAACGTGTGCCATGTGAAAGAATGGTGCTTAGAATATGGAGTTGTAAAGACTGAGCGTGTGTGCGACAAACACCACAAGAAGGCTGAAAAGTAATTAAAATGAATAGAGTTGATAGTAAAAAGCAAACCCATGAAATATGCTAACCGAGTGAAGGAATGTATATATATATTTATATATATAGCTAGTCCCCTCCTGTACGGATGCCCCTTATAGAAATTACAAAAGGGTATGTGTGCATGAATTTATATAGATATATATATATATTTGGGGATGCGAGCCGAGTGAAAGGCGCGCCGATGAGTGGAGTTACAGTAAAAAAATTTAAAATGCGATATCGAAGGTGAGTATAAGCCAAATGAAAAGCATGTAGCACTGTAACCACGGTGGGTAAAGTTACATCGAGAACATATTTATATTGTGATTTCGATGGTTTGTGCAAGTAAGAGTACTGAATACTGTAACGTGAAGCAATATGAAGTGGAGGTGCATTCAGAATTTTTTTTTTGTTTTTTTTTTTTTTTTTTTTTTCCGAACCTCGAAGGTGAGGTGTCGTGTATATATGCATTGAATATATGTTTCCACGTCAGATATGTTTGTATAGGGAAGTCGGTACCAGTGAGATGTCATGAGAGCGTCATGACATAAGCTTGCAAAATATAAACACCAAAATGACAGGTGCATCATAGCTAGTAAGTGGACTTTTCCGATAAAGTGCCATGAAAACTAGTGCTACTTGTTAGAGGTAACATATAGGTGCACCTTTATATGCGCATATATATATATATATACACACATATAAGAATTTATGCGCGCGCGCACATATATATATATATATATAAACACACCAATGTATGTAAGTTAAAGTCTACAATGAGTAATTTGGAGGAGAAGAGCGTTGAAAGTTGTGTAACAAAGTCTAAGTCCATTTAGTAAATTAAAGTTGACTTAGACCTATGATCACGTGTTAGTGTAACCTTTTGTATGAATATTTATTTTTAATATTGAATGGGGCTGTCTCTCTGTCTACATGCATAACTGAAGTTCTGTCGTTGGTAAGTGTGAAGACATATAAAGAGAATAAAGTATTGATTTAGTTATCTATGGGCCAGCAATACACACTATTTTAGTTATGTATGGGCCAGCAATGCACATGTATGTGTGAATGCATATGTATACATGGGATGTGCTTCGTCAATGACATGGCCTGTAAAACTCAAGCTTATCTTTTCCCACTAATCTTTTCGAATGATAAGCAGCTTTAGAATTGCGACAACTGTGTGTAGATGTAAAAGAAAGTAAATAAATCTGTAGAGGATTTATAAATACATATATATTTTTAAAATGGGTTCGGGAGGAAGCCCTTTAAAACACATTTGTTTTAACAAAACTAAAAGCAGGAACACAAATCTTTCAATACTATATGACATGAAAAACTTTCGAAAATCTCTTCTTTTCCTTTCAACCAAAAGAATTGAAAAAATTTCTTTACATTTGTAATACTGAATTTCAATGCATGGAGCTCAATTTTTAAAGTTTAACATATAAAAACATTAAAATCACCCCATTAGCTTCCACAGCCATGGAACACAAAGCTTTGACCTTTGAACCATAGAGGTTTTAAAATTGAAGAAACTCGAGCGAAATTTTCATTCTTCCATGGCTTCCCATCTGATAGCAGTTTTTTTTTTTTTTTTTTTTTTATTCAACCTCCCATAGCTTCCAATCGGATTATTTGCAAAACGGGTTAAACCGGTTCCCATCCATTTTTATTTTTATTTTTTATTATTTTTTTATGTGATAAATTTTTAGGAGACTTGTCATAAATCATATTGTGGAAGGTGCTACGCGAACTGCAATTGAGGCTGCGTCTAGGAACGCGAGGTGCGACGCGAAGTTCTGACCTCAAGCTGCAATTGAAGTTGCGTCGAGGAACGCGAGGTGCTCCGCGAAGTTCTGGCCTCGAGCTGCAATTGAAGCTGCGTCGAGGAACGCGAGGTGCTCCGCGAAGCCTGGCCTCGAGCTGTAATTGAAACGGCGTCGAGGAATGCGGGGTGCTACATGAAGTGCTGGCTTCGACCACAAATGGAATCGCTGGGCTATCGACGAAACTGCCGATAAGAGAACCGCTGGGTCATCGACAATCATGGGTCTAATTCGACAAATTTTGTCAACAAATAGAAGCGCTGGTCATCGACCAAACTAGCTATCGCCGGAGATCGATGGGCTTTGTCCTCGTGGGTTGTCGCCGGGCCTCGACAAAGACGATTGTCTGAAATCGAGGGGCTATATGGAAGTTAAAATTACAGTGTCGAGAAATCGAAAACCCCCAAGCAATCGATGGAGTCGACGAAAGGGGGGACCACTGGTTCATCGACAGGCATTGGTGTTGACAAATAGAAGCGCTGGGTCATCGACTAGACTGGCTATCGCCGGATCTCGATGGGCTATACCGATGTGGGTAAGTAGGATAAAATCGATGGGAAGTGTAACGTGCGAATTCGACGGGCCTCGCCATCGACGGGCTTCGTCATCGGCAGAGTCGGTTGCGCAAAATCGATGGGTTGTGGACCGTGGATAATCGAAGAGTGTGATGTTGGCATAAAATCGACTGGATTTCGACAGGCTCAATTTCGAGGACAACCGCAGAACAAGAAAGTGGCAGCGAGGAAGGCCAACGGCGATCAACGAGAGATGGTGGGTTGTCATCAATAGAGATGTCTAAAGTATAGAAGTCTTGTAACGCGACAACAACAAACCAGAAAGCGTGGTTGGTTCACTGAAATCCAGAAGGGTCATCGACAGGATTTGGGTTATCGACAATTAAGTCGAGATTTTTCATCCATTTTTTTTTTTTTTTTTTAGGTCCCAGTGGTTAGATGAGATGTACATCCCAGTTCATTCATGGATGCAGACTACCTCAGGGTACGAAGACACTTGCAGTGAGCAAGGTACTCCAACAATGATTACTTGGAGCTATGTTGACAAGGAAGTCGCTGTGGAGGGATCATGGGATAATTGGAAGACAAGGTGATAATTTGGTCCTTACATGTTTTCCCTCATTTTCTAATTTTAATTTGTGCTTTTCTGAATTGCAATTTGATATAGAATCATTTTACCCTATTGATCAGAAAGCTGTAGCCCCAAAATGGAAAGTTTGTCGACTGTGTTGGGTCATTGATAGGGAGTGATTAGTTGAAATCTATGGGTGTTCGCGTTTGGCAAAACAGTATCTTGAAATCGAGGGGTTTTGTCGATAAAAAAAAAAAAAAGGAGCGAGAAAAAATCGACGCCCGCCGCCGGAGGTCGACAGGATCGTAGAGGGAGGTTTGAAATTACCGGTCCATCTGTCTCGTTTTTCCAGAGAGAGGTTTGATTGCCTTTCCGTGCAGACTATGTAATGCAAGAAAGGCAAGCCAACCAAAGCATATAGCGCCTTTGATGAGTTTCTGGGACGACAGTATTGTCTCTGAACTTGGTTTCTATTAGCAGACATGTACCAAGTATGGAAGGAAGATTGTCCAACAACACAAGAATGAGCTTTGGTTGTGGGTATCAACGGGTTTCGTCATCAATGGCCACGTAGCCTAAAATCAAAGGGCCTCGCTGCTTGTATGAAAAATATATATGTACTATATATTTAAAATAAATGTATACGCTTTAGTTATCCCAAAGCATGCGGATGGTTGATGGTCTACCCAGTGTGTCAAAAGACAGATAAATGGTGTCTAGATTGGTATTGGAATATGAAAAAAAAAGAAGTTATTATATACTATGATATTGAAAGAGCTTAAGTTGGTGAGACTGTTCGAGATGTGTCATTTGATCGATTCTCTAAACCATGAAACAAGCCTCATAAAACTCAATTCAAGCTAGGTCTGGTGTCAGCTTTTTAAAGAGAGCATGTGGGTTTTGTGGCATCATATACGTAATAAATGGAGTGCGGAGGTTACACACCCTAAATATGTAATAAATATATATTACACTGGCAGGGTTTTTTTTTTTTTTTTTGCAGGTTACTTTGCCTACATGTGATGACAAGTCAAGTTAAGTCAATACTAGGTGCTGAGTTTTTGTAACAGTGTCTCCTAGGTGAAAAATAAGTTTGTGGGCTAAGTAAATTTTGAAGATGGTGTAGTCAAATCATGACAGGCGTAGAGTTGAATTAATTGTCTACATAATTGTAGGCTAAAATACACAGCTAAACGAAAGCGTATGACATGATTGGAAAAAGCTAATTGACCCTACTCCTGTGAACTGTTGCATCTGGCATATCTTTTGAAGATAAATTCGGAATATTATGAAAAATTTCTAGTAAGTAGACTTGATAAAAAAATCTTAGGCATAAAGCAACAGTTCTTTTGCAAGATTGTATGCTAAAGGTCACTTTTACCATCATTACCACAATGCTTCATCTATGGAAATAAAAGGACAAAGATGCGAGGTAAACACAAAGGCATGTATGTGTGTGTGTGTATATATATATATATATAACGCTGTATAAGATATATATATATATATAACGCTGTATAAGATTGTAATAAGGCGTAGGTAGTCCTTATAACAGTGGGTGATATTGCTTGCAAGTTGTATAATCAATAATAGGGAGATGACATAGAATACGGGCTCTCTTAAATTTTCATGGACTGCTGGTCAAAATAATCTGGAATACTTGAACCAGTCTTTGAATTAACCTGATTGTAGGTCATAAAAAAGAGGTGTATATATATATATATATATATACATATATCTTTGTGTATATATGTGTAGGAATAGAAAGTCATCCCAAGTGATAAACAATTGAGTATAATAATTAAAGCGGCTGACAGTGCAAAAATGCAAAGAAATGAAGAGGCTTAAAGTAAAGGACGAGCTCACCAAAATGAGGTAGAAAACCTTAAGCTCTAGAGGTGTATTGTAGAAGGATGGTCGCCTGAGTTTCTCAGCTTTGTGTTGATATCCACGGTGGAGTTGCCAAATTATGGGGGTTGATTTTCGTAATACAATAAAATATGTATAAATGGTGATATCATACACAAATTTGAGTGATCCAGACAATATATTAGAATTTGAGATGGACTAAGAGAGGTGGAAGTACAGTCAAACTCGAGAGAGAGAGAGAGAGAGTGAAGATGGCAGTGTAATAATAGACCATTGACTCCCTTAATAAAGGTGTATGGAGAAAACATCAGAGCTTATTTGCTCCTCCCCTTTTTGTTCTACCTCCCGCTTAGCCTTGAATCACCTCCTTATATAGGCCAAGTGAGAGGTTGGGTGATGTCATATGACATCACATGTGAGGCCCATTAACATTATAAAATAAAGTTAATTGAGATGGGTCTAAAATGTATGGGAGTCAAAATGGTATCTCTCTCTATGAGTCAAGTCAGAGTGTCAATTCGACGAACCTTAAACTTCATCCACCAAACCAAGAACCTCCTCAGATCCCAAGTAATCCTGAGTCCTGCTCCCAACTCAAGTCTTCAAGTTTTCGATCTTTTGTTTGAGGTATACTGATGTAGTAAGTGTTATGCAATTTAGACCGTTTGACTTGTGGGCCATTGTTTTTGATGTGGCGTCACTTGTTGACCATTTGACCGAGCTTTGTGAACCATTGTTGATGATGTGGCATAGTCTGTTGACCATTTGACCAAAAAATGTGGTCCATCTGAAGTGAGATATATTCAACACCTACACACTTCAACCCAAATCCAACTCTATTTAAATTCGGATTGGAATTTTTTAATCCAAACCTAAATTTAATTATAAAAATAATTGACCGAACTTATAAAAAATCGAAATGAGCGCGAGGTAGATTCAGATTATCCAACTAAAATTGCACCAAAATTGCTTATGCACGAAGCAACCCACAATGGGCCTGCATATTTTACTTGCCGACAGCTTACAGATTAAGCAAATATAATCCATTAAAGTAAAAGGAAAAGGTACACGCAGACAGGCCACAGATCGACACGCGCAAGCCACGTGTCAAGTTTTGTAGATCTCGAATATGTATATATTCATATACATGTCGATACAGAAGTGCGTTGTGTGAGAAACGAAACGATATAAAAGCTCTTTACTGAATAAATGAAATTCGAGTGCTCTCTGTGTTGCTCTGTTGTTGTGCTAGTGTTACTTTCCTCCTCCGTTTCTTTTCTCTGTGCGCTTGAATTCGAACCCCAACTAGGGTTTTGCAACCAGGAAGATTTGATTCCAATGGCAACTCTAGGAGGAATACAGGAGTCCCAGTCTTCTCAGAACAGCGCCGAAATTGACAGCCTCGCACGTTTTGCTGTAGAAGAACACAACAAGAAAGAAGTATTTTTTATTTTCATTTTTTCCCTTCAAATTATGCTTCTTGATTTATTTTCAATTTATTTATGTGTTGCAATAATTTGTTGCTAATTTCAGTCTTCGCCACTTTTGGTGTATCAATTTGTATCATATATCTGTCAGGCTTATTTAATTTTACTAAAGATTTAGTACTTTTATATATATATATATATATATATATACATATATTTTTTAATTTGAGTCAACCAATTCAGTTTATGTTTGTGTGTATTGCAATAATTTGTTGCTAAATTTCCAACTTTGTCAGTTTTGATGTATCATATATCTGTTAGTGTAATTTTGTTAAAGATTTAGTAATTCATAATTTTTTTTTTTTGGTTGCTTTGTTGAATTTGAGTCAACCGATTGAATCCTAATGTAGTCTATTCAATCTAATAAGTAAATTTTTTTTATTTATTTTTTATTTATATATTTGTTTTTGTAAAAGTATTCAGTCGAATTTTTATATAGCATTGGGAAGTTTCTGTTTAGACAGTGTATGCAATACGAAGGGTTCAGTTAAATGTTACCTGGACTAAATTGAAATGGAGTTGTGTCCCTTTTCGTATCATATTTGATTAACTACTTCTTTGTTGATGTAGTTTTATTTTTTACATTTAAATACGAAATGTGAAGGAATTAGGTGTTGCTTTTTCCGCCTTTGAAATTCACTAGTGGGTTTGATCCTTTGGGAAAGGCTTGGGTTATGTTTGAAATTTCTTATCACTTACTAATTATATGATCAGCATTAGTAATGGTGTCATAACATTTAGATTTTCCCTTAGACAATTCGGGTCTGTTGAGAGAGATGATTATTTTTTACTTTATTTGTTTTTTTTGTTTCAAAGCAAATCAATTTTCATATTGTTTTAAGGATTTTTCTTGCTTTCTTTCTTAATAATTTTACTATTGGCTGACACATGTGACTGTTCCCCAGTCACTTACCATTTGACATTATGAAAGGCATGGACCCTGGTGGTTTTTAGTGGTGAGGTCTGAGTAATTATTATTTTTTCAGCTGAAGACATAGTGTCATAAAAGAAGCTAGCTACATTGTAATGTGAGAGTAGATCATGCTTGCTTGTGCATAGACAAATACCAAGTATTGTGATTTCTTATGTTCCAAGTATGCCATTTAGGTGGAACTCTTTGACAATCACTGTCAATCTGAAGTACCATCTTGCATGGTAAAAAAGAAAGAAAGAAAAGAGAGTAGGTCTTTAATATCATTTGAATGGCGCATAAAAAGATTTCCAACTAGTTAGTAGGAATCATTTAGTAATTGTGCATTATCATTAACTTGCCTACTCATTCGGTGCATTTCTAGTGGAAGCTGATTTTTGGCTAGAAGGACTAAATCATTTTTAGAGTCGGTAGACATCCATTATAGTTTTTATTGCTTTGGCATGATTTATTTATTTCTTTTGGACTCTTATCTCTGCCTCACAATTTTTTTTTTTTTTTCTTTTTTCTTTAAATGTATTTTGTTATCCTAAAATAGTACTCACAATATTTTTTTGTTTTTGGGAAGAATGCACTCCTTGAGTTTCTGAGGGTGGTGAAGACGCAAGAACAGGTGGTTGCTGGTACTCTGCATCATCTAACTATCGAGGCTATTGATGCTGGTAAAAAGAAACTTTATGAGGCAAAGGTCTGGGTAAAACCATGGATGAACTTCAAGGAGTTGCAAGAATTCAAGCATGCAGGTGACGTCCCCTCATTTACTCCTTCAGATCTTGGTGCTAAGAAAGGTATCTGACATTTTTGAGGTTTATTGTTTTTATTTTTATTTTTTAGTTGTTGTTGAACTTCTGATTTCTAATTCATTTGATTGGTATTGATCTAAAGTTCATTTTTGACCGATACAAACTTGATATGTTATCGTTTCTTTATTATATTTAGATAGCTGACTTATCCTTGAACTTAGTTTCTTTATTATATTATGGATTATTGGATATATAACTTCTGAAAACATCTTTATATGGCGACATACGTTTTCAACTAGTTGAGATTATTAGTCTGCAATGTGAACAGAATAATAATAGTATAATAATATTGCCTAAGAAGCATGGACAATTTCTTTGAAGTTTCGTGTCCATGTTGGGCACCATGTCGGAGATCGACACTCCTGAGTGATAAGTCTCTGACACTTCATGACCATGTCCATAATTTAAAAATAATTTTTATTATTTCGGACACTTGGCCAACACATCTTGGACACTTGGTCAACACAATCTGGATGCTCGATAACATATCCTTATATTTGTAACTACCAAATATAAAATAAAATCAAAATAAGAAAGTTGCTGAAAATCAGGAAACTACACAAAATAAGGAAAATTTCAGAACATGGGAAGTTTAAAAAAAAAACACAAAGTCCACAGCAGAAAATTAGGGATTCTGACTGCACCAGTCCCCTCAAGTTGGAAAGAACTTGTACTCAAGTTTGGCTACAAATTAAGTGACTTGTAATCTCTGATGTGAAAATTCGATGTAGTAGTGTTCCACCCTCATTGCAATGCCTTTTGACATTTTGCCTTTTGATGTGAAACCCAAATTGATGGATGTTCTCTATTGGCGGTTTATATCAATGGTGCACATTAATTGCATACCTCAGAGACCCACTAGTTGGCGTCCATGCCATTGTGAAGAATAAATGAAGTGATACCTTCAGAGCCTTTACGACAATTGTTAACCCATACGTTTGAGTGGCGACTATTGCATCCACTTTGAAAGGAATTCCAGAACCAATATCACACTCTTTGCATACGGAAAGTATAGAATATATTATTTCCTTTACTTGATTTCTAACCTTTGTAACATCCACGAGACAAGTGGCAGGGTGGATTGAAGTCAAGTGGGTTTCAATAGAACATGTGATTGAATACCTTGACTTTCATATATAACTTCCTTAGGTGACATGCCCATCAACAAAGCACCCATAGCATTCTCCAGCCCACAATCAATCTCATTTATAGCAAGAGTATGGACAACAGCAGGCCCCACGTCCCCATCTATTATGGTTGATGTTGTGAGTATGTGAACTAATTTTTTTTAGTAACTCCTCTTCCATTGTTTGACCCCTTCTTGGTATCAACCTGCTCGACTCTTCTACCCGATCCTCGGCATAGAACTTGAAAATTTCATTGACCTGCTCAGCATGAATTAATCCATTCCGCTCACTTTCAGCATCAAACTTTTTGTCACCATCTCCTTCTTTTGCTGCATTGAATTCCTTAACTGCATCATCTTCATGTTTCGGACTCAATAGTGAGTTAGTGACTTTTGCATAACCAAAAATTCATCTGCATCACCATATAGGATAACATCATCCTCTTCCACCGGCAATTCATCATATTTTGGCTCGACCACTGGGGCTGCGTGACATTCTTCGATCAAAAGTTTTTTTTTTTTTTTCTCTACCAAGATATCTTACAAACTCAGGAATTTTCCCCTTAAAACCACCATCCCAACACCTTTCATCAAGTGGAATAGGTGCTGATCTGGATATTAGGCTACTACAAAAAAGGATTGACAAAATCCTCTTCAAGATTTTCTGCCGCCTGATGGACCTAATATGTCAACATAAGTCTTATGGACCTAATAGGCTATAAATAAATATCTCATGCTTCTGCTAAACTTGCAACGTGGTTGGTGTCTTTTGCACTCCATAACTCACTAAAGCACTGCAACTTAGCTTGAACTCTAGTTGATGATTAATGATGTGTTGACGCTATTTATGGAGTACAATCTAGAAATAAAAGAAATTGAGCTAAATGTTATACAATTGAATACTCTGTGTATTTTTTGCATATACACAGAGTATGTTGCATATAAGTAGTATCTTTTAAAGATTGTTGCAAATTGTGGGCACCATTTGCGGTTCAACTATCACAAAATTTCAAGCTAGTAACATTGTCACTGTGATCCATGGATGAGATACTTGGTACTCGTTCCCTTGCGAATTTTCAAGCTAATAACATTGTGGGTTCACCATAATTTTGGTGAGGTGGGGTTCATCATGCCAATACTTATTCTAGTTTTTTGCAAATCAGGCGACCATGCCCCGGGATGGCAAGCTGTGCCTGTCCATGATCCTGTAGTCTGGGATGCTGCAAATCATGCTGTTAAGACCATCCAGCAGAGATCGAACTCACTATTTCCCTATGAACTTCAAGACATCGTTCATGCGAGAGCTGAGGTCAGTAACTTATGTGCTTTTGTTAATTTGACCTTTTATCACTATATGTGATATTAGCAGCATAATGACATTGATGATTTGTATGCTATGTTTTAGAGTTGATTGGAGATGCTTGAAATTAATATTTTCCATTTTATTATACTGAACATTTACTTGTCCAAAAAAATTTGTACTGAACATTTGATGAAACTCAAAATGCATGAGATCATATGTAGGATTGCTATCATTTTTGCTGGTTACGTGCAATTTTTTCTTTATAATCTCATTATTGTGTTGTAATGAATGCCAACAAATCTTTATGCCGAAGGATTACCATAAATGGGATGGATTATTATTACTCTAAAGAGGCAATATATACATATAAATGCATGCTATAATGACTGTACATACATAGATTGTGAATCAAAAGGCATAAGTTTGCATTGAGACCTTCATTTTCATCTTTCCCTATGTTTTCTTTCTGAATTTGCCTCTTACTTCACACTACCATACTTTGATGGTATGCACACTAACATGTAAACTTTGATCATAAAAGGAGGGGAAAAGAAAACATTGTGTATTTATAATAGTAACATCGTTATATTGTTTAATTATACTTCAGACAAGAATATTACTTCTATGTAGACATGAAGCTTACACTCAAAATAAGGTGGCTGATGTTTCAAGTATGAGAATACTTCTGCTGAACCCCTACTGGTGTTAGGGGGTTTGGATTTGAACTCTGAGAGGAACTATATGAGGCTGAACTGATTGCAGTTATATATAGGTTGATTGATTGATCGCAATGTAGGCTGCAACAGATTTCTCTTTATGTAAAATGGTTATTTGTTTAAAGCAGTCAAACAATTGAAGAAAATTATGATGGTGGCCTTGGAGGAGGGTTTTGGTAGTGATAGAACTGTTGCTTTGTAGAAGAGAAGTTTATTGGTAGAAACTGCATAAACATATGATGATGCATATCCAGAGATGTAGGGCATATTATAGAGCTTAGAGTTATTCTGGAAACCTTACCAAAATTGTTTATGGGTCATTACGCCACCTTTTGATGTCATTGGTGGAAAAATTGAAAGTTGAAAGGGTGTGTAACCTTACCAGGCTTACCTCAACCCACATTTGCTTAAAATATTTCTGAGCATAGGACAGTAGGTTTGAGTCCTTTTCAAGCTTTCTATGGTTGAAACGGTTGTCCATTTGTTTTGGTTTATTTGCATTTATTACAGTATTTCTTGTGCAGATGCACAGAACATGGACGTATATAACCAAAAAGTGAGTGGGAAGGTTGAAATAGAGTTTGAAGCAAGCAATGAAAGGAACATAGATGTGTTGGTAAGTACTGGAGACAGGCTGAGTTTAGAAGAGATGTTTTAAGAGATTGCAGACATGACTGATACAGCTCAGTCGCAAGGTTAAGCTGAAGGCCATTGAGAGTATTAAGGAATGCTGGCCAGAATGCATGTATAGATATATCTAGTGGGTGTGGTACTGTTGGTGGTGAATGGTGATTCAGCAAAGCATTTTGTGGAGAGTGATTATAATCATAGCTAGAAATTCAATCAGGGTGTTTGATGTGGGAGCATCCATAAGGTCCATATTCAACTTCCCTCGTGATCCAAAGGAAGGTCATAGAGGGAGACTAGAAAAGCAACCCATTGTTGTTAGTTTCTCTACGACTGTTAGGATTCTTGTTTCAAATTGCTTGTTAATTGTTATTACTTGATAAGGAGATCGTTTAGGTTGTGTTTCCTATTTTGGGTAGGATTCAATGGACTCGATCACGATTACTAATGAGTCTTTATTTCAGATTTGCCTGTTGCTGCTAATTGTTCCCTTCTATGTCCCGGAGACCTCTACTATCTGTATATATAGTTATAAATGTAAATCTACAATTTGAGTTGTTGATACTTGATATGTAGTGAAGACAACCCTTCCGTGACAGATGTGGAATATACTACATTTGTTGATGGGATGTATGAACATGCTATTTATTCCTGAAATTGACGTTTAAACTGTAAAAACAGATTGTCGAGGAAACTGCCAAGTTTGATATGCTTCTGAAGGTGAAGAGGGGAGACAAAGAAGAGAAGTTCAAGGTGGAGGTACATAAGAATAATGAAGGTGCTTTCCTTCTCAATCATATGGCGCCGGATCGCTCTTGAATTTGGAAGTTACCATCCAATACCGGTTGAGGCACAACATACTACGATCTGGTATATGAAAAATGTTGTACTCTTCTTATCTTCTGGCTTTTAAAATAATTGTATGATGTTAACTACTATATATATATATATATAAATGCGATGTTAAACTACTATATTATCTGAGCAATTCTCTCTCTCTCCTGGTAAGAATTTGTATATATGGTACATGCCGCCCGTGTAAAAAGTAAAAACTACTTTCACATTGCTCAACCTAATTGACACTTCTTGTAGTCTGATCCATAGACACTCATTCAACATCTCTAATAATTTCTGTTGAAAAAAGATTTGCTGTTATAATTTCTTTTTAAAATGATGTAGCAATAGTCGTTTTTCAAGCGAATCTCTAATGAAAAGTGCTTTGGGTATTGACATTTAAGCTCGAGTATCAATGAAGGTTCAAGGATTTGAAAAGTAAAATAATGTTTCCAGCATAGATGGCAGAGTTGAGAAATGAAAGAAAAAAAAAATTTGCGACAAGCAGAAAACTGCTCTTTAACTCCCTTTATCAATGCCTGTATCAGGCTGTTCTGTCTCCATGGCCCCTATCATGAGCAGATTCCTGAAATCAGAATTACTTTGAACTTTTGCTATTCCAGAAAAATTCTCTCTGACACACACATAAATGCCAATTCTAAAGATTTTTTATTTTTTATTTTTCATTTTTATTTTTATTTTTGTTACCTCGGCAAAAAATTAATACTCGAACCCTTACCTTTATACTTTCAAACCTTTATACTTTCAAAGGCGAAGAAGTATTACTAGGCTTTTCAAAGCTAAGACTGTATAGTATTCACCATTAGTATTCGTCTACCAAACCATTCTGACTATGATTTAGAAGAAAGTCTGCAGATTAAAGATTCTGAATTTTTACAATTTCCCTTGTAACTCTGTTAAACACAACTACAATTGTGAATAATGGATTACAATTAAGCCTTTGTCAACTCTTTCAGCAATACATTGCAAATATCTCAAAAGCAACCTTTAGCCCTTACTAGCTTTTAACTCTTGCCATAGACCAAACGGGAAACCTTCAAAACATTCTCAAATCTCATGTGGGAAATCGTGTGGAAAGGTATATATGATTTCGAGGATATTCTATTTGGAAAGAAAATATGAATAATTTCTCCATTAAAAATATAATGATAATAACTTGCAAGTGAGGGCTCTTGTCTCACGTAGAGTTGGATGCGGAAAGTTATATTATAAGAGTGGTAAGCAGTTCCATCTAACTATTAAGTTTTTGGGTCATATGGCAAGCGCCCGCTCTGTTACAAATGGTATCAGAGCAGGTTCAATCCTTGATCCGGTATCACGCCAAATGTCTATCCGAATATTGTCAACGAGCACACTGTGAGATTGAGTGGGGAGAATGTCCAGAGGTTGGATCAAGATTGAGAGTTCGAGCAGGGTGAGAATGAGGTTGAATTCGAATGGGGAAGGTCCCGCTAGGAGTTCAAGAAGGGGGGGAGAAATGTTAGAGATCAGATCTAGATGGGGAAGGTCTTGCCCTTGTAAAAGCGGGTAGGCATACAGATCCTTTCAGCTTCTAGGTCGCTCACATGAATTATTGGGTTAAAAAGAAGGCTTGAATTGTAATTCGAGATTCAAATTCTGTTTTTCATGTGTGAATGATATACTTTTAATCGCAAAAGAATTAAAGATTTCATTTAAACATGTCTGCCTTTTCTCTTCTTTCTTTTTTGTCTTCCTGTTTACATTGCATCACTTTTATGAACAAACTCATTGTCATACTTCATTAGCGCATAATGCCAATACATGCCGGCTTCACTTGTTAGTATTGACATCGCGAAGGGTAGATAGTGATAAATTTTCTTCATAAATTCATGTGAAGCAATAGAAATTTCATTTAGGCCAAAAAAAAAGGGTTTTAATGCTCCCTTCTGTTTCAGCTTAAAACATTTTGGTTACATTTCTATATAGATCAAACTGCAAGGAAGAATGGGCAAACAAAACAGCAACAACCATCTAAGCCTTGCAAAAGAGAACAGGCGTGTGTAAAAATATTTTGGTGCGCGAGTACGCCAGTTGATAAACCTGGTAAAAAGCCCCTTGATTAGAACAAATCATGCACTCTGGTTTGGAGCGTTCATCGATATGGAGAAGCTCACCCTGTATCATGTGGCGCATAGCCTTCAGATTATCAGAAAAGAAGAAGATAAAAAAATAAAAAACCTAGTTTGAATATCCATGTACATTATTGCAAGAATCCATCAGCAAATATCTCTTTGGTAAATACAAAATGTTACTGGACTTGAACTGCATATCAAAGAGCTCTGCAAATGAGATTCCATATTCATACTATGTTAAATAGGAGTTCAAGTGCTTAGGGAAAATATTGCTCTAGAACTGTTGTCAGCAAATGGTACAAATAGCAAACATATGGTGATACAGCTTCTGGTGGAATCAAAAGAGAGATGGCTACAGGAGGGAAAAAAAAAAAAAAAAAACTATGGGGACTAAGCGATCCTCGTGCCTTGTAGACGTGTCATGGTCTCCATAAGCTTCTTGCTAATCCGATCCAACAATTTGCATTCTACTAGCACAAACTTCAAATCATGGTTAGTTATTATTCTTCGTCATAGTTTTCCTCATCCTCATCCAACCTTGAATTGAGATGTGCAAGATGAAGAGGGTCAATGGCCATTCTGTCCATTTCCGAAAGTGACCAGTCACGACACTCTTCGGTATTAACCTCGGTAGGCCCCTCTGATGAGGCACAGGCCACTACTGCTGTGGCTGTTCTATCTGCATTCACATCTAAATCCGCATTTAGAATGGAACTTTGAACCGCTGGATTGGCAGCATTCACGATGGAACTTTGAACCGCTGGATTGGCACCATCGCCAACATCAATATTCTCCTCTAATGATTCCTTTGAATTGTTATCCACCAGCAGTTGTGGACTTGGGTTTGGTTTGCTGCAATGCTGAATGGATGTGCAAGGGACAGATTCAACCTCATGAAGAGAAGACTCTCTGTCTGGCAGTCGAATGCCCCTGCCACGGCCTCTTCCTCTGCCCCTACCTCTTCCCCTGCCACTGCTGCTAGCATTGTTGATCAGATGCTGCGGTGAAGTGAAATACGTTCTCCTATTAATTAAAAGAATTGCACTCCTAAACTATAACACAATCAATGTAACATTTTTGGCACAATTTTTAGATGAGATCTAAACAAAACAGACATGTTTCACATAACATCAATCATTTACGTGACAACTTCTCATTGCATAAAGAATACACCACCTGCAAAACTTGACTGCTTGCTGCCGTTTCTAGGACAAATCAGTTTAAAGTTTATTGCGCTAAAACAGTTAAAAGATAATTCCCTTATTAGTGCCTTGAAATTAAATTAAAGCATTCATATGCTCTTTTTTGTTTTTTTATCTTTTCCCTCTTCTTCAGAAAAATCATATTCAGTGAGCAAAATTGGATGTCATTTACTTGCATCCTCAGCTTCACTGAAATGGTCAAAATCTCACCCTTCTTGAATAGTAATTACACTGAAGCAGGACAATTAATGGCCCGAATTTAACTGGTCAGACCAAAATTAGCAAAACCCAGAGCATCCTAAACAATCATGTACTATTTCGAATTTGATAATAATTAGCATATCCAAATTTGATCCATATCTGGATAGTGATTCAAATCCAAAATAACTAAATATACTTCGATATTTGTTAAAATCACAATATTATCTAAAAAAAAAACATAAATATAATTTTTATTTTTTATTTATAAGTATAGATGTAACAAGTTTCATCAGATTCAATCATAATTGAACCAATTCTACCTTAAAATTGGCTTGATTTTGATCATGTAGTAACAAAAGACAATTGAGTCTAAATTTCATCGATAGACTGTAACATTCCAGAAAATTTTCCCAAGAATAGGGATCATTAAAAACCCTCAATTGCTTTAAAATTACACTCAAATTGATATCAAGCAACCAAAACTACAAATGGGTTAGAAATCAGGGACAAGATCATCATTTTAGGGAAAATTAGGACTTAGTTCGATTGCTCAAACGTGGACGGGCGTGTCAGACACATCTCATTGATGTGACTAAGTGAACTTGGATCGAGGATAGCAGACTTCAATTGATTGAAATGCCCTCGATCAATCAACCATGGCCAGATGTCAAAAAATAAAAGACAGTTGGCAAAGGAACCCCATCCCTCTAATCATAGATAGTGGACTTGAACCGGTCAAGGATAGTGGACTTTAACTAATCAAAGTGTGCTCAATTGATCAAGCATGACCAGATGTCAAGAAATAAAAAGACACGTAACAGAAGGGCTCCATGCACTGGGGCCCCTCCACCGGTTTTGGGCCACCAATTTAGTGAGAGAATGTAGAGAGAAAGGAAGAGAAAAGAAAGAGAGAGGGATAGATGGAAGGAAAAGATAGGAGATTATCGGAATTACTGGAGCAATCCAAATAGTAAAGCAAGACTTGTCAACAATCTATTGTAGAGTCAGAATAGTGGAAGGACTCCCATCCTTCGAAGGTAGGCAATTGGGCCCACACCATCCATAACTAATGTGTTGAAACTCACTCAGACAATATGTTTATATGCTTGTAACAAATTTATTGTTGCTCCAGATGTGCCATCATTGCACTATGTGATTCAAAGATACAGGTTACTGAAACGAACTCCACCGACATAGATTATGCGAACAAAAGCTACTCAAATAATATGTATATATGAACATTATAACATTTGTAGATGGCATGTCATGTACACACGTGTTGACAACATTACTTGCCTTGATGTGTTATAGTGTGGACTAATGTCAATAGCCACCAAAATTTAAACAAGAGAATTGACTAAAGATTTTCAATGTACATGTGACAGGACGAAGAAAAAGGTCATGGAGACCAAAACGATTGGGAGTACACTTCGGTTATTTTCGAAAAGGTTTGATGGACTACAAATGTGACAATAGATTGTAATTCGGTCCGAATGTTGATGTGAAAACTCAAATGAAATCAAACTACTTCAATAATGAGATAATACGTAAAGAAAGGTCCGTGTTTTGAGGGCGTGTTATTGCTTGTCGGTTTGGGGAAGAAGAGGGAGGTTGGGTGTCCAGAGGTGTGAATGCATCAGCAGGTATGGGGTCATGGAAAGGTATTAGGAGGGGGTGGGACGAATTCTCTAAGCGGATACGGTTTCGAGTTAGGGATGGTAGTTTTGTGAGGTTTTGGATGGATGTTTGCTGTGGGGATATGGCATTGGCTTGTAGGTTTCCTAGACTTTATAGGATGGTTGAGGTGAAGCATGCGGTGGTGGCAGATTATTTTAGGTTAGAGAATGGGAAAGCTAGTTGGGGTGTGAGATTTTGCATAAATTTTAATGATTGGGAGTTGTTGGAGTTTACCGAATCAATGGGATTAATTTATAGTCGAGTGGTGGAGGGGGAAGGAAGGGATGAGATGGTGTGGAAGGGGGACTCTAGAGGGGTGTTTAAGGTGAGTCTGTTTTATAAAAGTCTTATGAATGGTAAGTTTACTAAGTCGAATTGGACTGTGTTTTGGTTGTTTGGAATGAAATCTTTTCTGGACATCGCAAGGTTACCAAGAATTTCGCTTGGGGGAGATGTGAAGTCGGCGGTTCCTCATCGCGGTCCGTCGTTGTATATCGACGGGGAATCCGTCAGAGGAAGGATATCTGTTCTCTCCTCTTGTTTGGTAGGAAAATTTGACAAGGAAGTGGGGAGTTGCGATCGCGTGAAAGAATGGGCAGCGAGGGCTTGGAATACGACTTGTGGAGTGGGGGTTTCATCGTTATCCGATTCAATGCTTCTTTTCCGGTTTCCTTCTCAGGCAGAGGCCAAACGTGTGTTGAAAGAAGGGCGAAGACAATGGGGTTCTGCAACTTTGACGATCGATGTGTGGTCCTTTCGTGTTGGTTGCCGTGGCGTTCTCAGTGATCAAGGTCTCAAGCAAATCCGGTTGTTTGGACTTCCATTACATTTATGGTGCCATGCTCTGTTCGTCGAAGTGGGAGAACTTTGTGGTGGTTATGTCAGATCTGACGCGGATGAGACCAGGGATGCTGAAAGCGTTCGGATAATAGTACGAGTTGGTCGTGATTGTCCAAAGTTTGTGTATATCAACGACGACACTTTCTGCTACAAGGTCGCGATTTGGGAAGAAATTTCGCCGGAGCTTGTTCCTTCAACGGAAAGTCTTGAAGGCAGTGACGGATCTCATCTTATGTCGGAAGAAAAATGGAACGAGCTGCTTAGCAAAGGTGAAGAAGGGATTCTCGAAATTCAACAGTGGCTGAAGGATCGTGAAATTCAGCAAAAGGTGAAGTTTATTGGAGGTAGACGACGAGGTGAGATTCACACGCCGAGCAAACGCGTCGTTGATGAGCAACACCGGTGTACACGTGGTGAACGGTGGGCTACCCCTTCAGATTCAGCTTTATCCTTATCTCTTGAAGATAAGGTAGGGAAGGATTATTTTCGGGCTGATAAAGGTTTTACTTTGGGCCATAAGTTATCAAGACAGGTTAGGAAATTTGGGCCTGATAATCATGGGCTCATTCAATCTCAACCTTACAGAGCGTATTTGGGTTCTGGGCCTGTTAGAAGAAGACTACAGAAAGGGCCACTAAGATTTGGTCAAACTGGGCAACTCCAAACTGGGCCTCTCAAGTCTGGGCCTATTAGAAAGGTACGAAAAGGGCCTAACTCATTATCTATCTCACTTACAAACATCAAACCTGGTCCTAATGAATCACAAGCCCATACCAAACCCTCTAATATTTGGATGAAATCCGAGAGGAGATTGACGAACGTCGGACTCCATGGATCTCGGTGGACTCGGAATGAAAAGCAGAAATGGGTCGCACGTTCTCGCACTTCTTCTCCAGGTTTGAGTCCTAATCTTTCTCTCAACACTCTTTCTACTTCTTCTCCTTCTTCGGGTGAAGTGGCTAGCGACAGGAATGTTGTTGAGAATGTTTCGGGTCAACAGAGAAGTATCATTGGGATTTCGACTTCTAAATCAGAGTTAGACGTCTCAAAGGTTACTACCGAGAGTGGGTTTTTTCAATGGAGTGACAGTTTGTGTTGGAAAAGATTTGCATTTCAAATTGAATAATGATTCAGCCGTAGCTTTGCTTAAAGAGCTTCGGCTATTTACTTCAGTTAAAGGTTTGAGCAATTTTTCATCTGAGCATGAGGAGTTTTCAGTAATCCCATCCAAAGAAGTTAATGCTTCGGAACTAGAGGGGATTTTACAGGAAGGAGAGGTTGATGTTGCTCTTCAGCAGCACCCTTTTAACGTATCTTTTTCCGGGACAGATCCTGTTCACGATGAAGTGGACTTTATGGAACCTTTGGCTGTTGTGCGGCCTGATTGTTTGGAGACAACCACTGATCTGGGCATGGAATGGGTCATCGAGAATGTTGGAGCAGTTAGTGAAGCTTTGGGTGTCTCTGCAGAAGGTTATGAGGAACAAACCCTGTGTATTCTCCACGAAATTATTGCAGGAAATGGTAGCAGTGAACCTATTCGTGACACAAAAGAAGTCAAAGTCAGAAATTCACATCGGAAAGGCGAACAGGAAGTGAAGAATTTGATTTCTTGTGTTAACTACGATGGAAAGAATGGGTCGACCAAAGAAAGGGGGAGAACCAGGAGTGGTAAAAGGGGAGGAGGTGAATTGATTGTTTTTGGTTCTTCATGAAGCTACGACTTATAACATGGAATGTTCGTGGTCTTAATGACCCGAAAAGAAGAAGAGTTATCAAGGTCGCTTTGAGGAAGTGGAGTGCTCATGTTGTCTGCTTACAAGAAACTAAATTGGCTGATATTACTACTGAGATTGTCAGGAGTCTTTGGGGATGTAGGTTTGTGGACTTTGAAGTTTTAAATGCAACAGGCACTTCAGGTGGTATTCTCCTCATGTGGGATCGTAGATGGTTGTCAAGTTTGAACTGTTGGAAGGGTATTTTCTCGGTGTCATGCATGTTTCAGATGGAAGAAGACAATTTCAAATGGACGTTTTCAGGTGTGTATGGGCCTGTTACTGATAGTGATAAACCAGTCC